AAAGGCATCCGCTATCTTGGCCAAGTGCGGATCTGCTGTCCATCCCCGGGACAGATTCCGACGGCTCGCATGAGCTTTGTCTCTGATGACCAGGCGAATGTTTGGCATGTTCAAACCAGGCCTCAAACCGCCGTGCCCTGCCAACAAGCGACCACATTTAATCTCGTCGGAGGCAGCGTCTGCCACGAAAGCTTCCACGGAATTCACAAGGCAACTGAGCAGCTCTTGGTCAGGAGAAGCTTGCCCAACCTCGCGCGTCGGATACGCAACATGGAGCCGACTTGTTGCAAAGTTTTCCAGCACCTTCATAGTGGCAGCCTGTAACCCAGCAGAGTCCAAGGAAAAGTCATGCGCAACGTTGACGGTGCCCAGATACCCACTTCGGATTTCCAGGCGTGAGTTCGCAGCCTTGTAGCGAACACGAAGCTTTCCTGAACGGCAGTCTTGCATGACGGTCGTTGAAATCAGAAACTTCTCGTCTTTGCCGCGTGACCACATGGCCCGCTTCTCCTCCCTAGACGCTTCTCCCAAACACCAGACCATCTGGCGGCACTTCTTTTGCCACCCTATGCCGCTAACTCCGCTTCTGCCAAAGCAAAGCTTCTTCTCGACCTTAATCAGGCGGACGAGTTCCGTGAACTCCGCAGCAGGCGGATGGGATTTTGCCTCAACCACACCAGTCCCATGCAGCTGCAGCGCCTGCTGGTGGTAGCCAGACTGCTCATGCCTTTTCAGAGTGCTGGCTCTCAGCGCTTTCAAATTCGTGCTGCTGGAGAGGACAAAGTCTTGCCGTCTCGGCTCCCAGACTCCGTCTGTACGTCCACGGCTTTTCAATTCATGGCAGAGCTTGCAACCAATACGAAAGTCCGGATCGAAGTGGCAGACCAGCCACGGGAAGTCTATCTGCAACTCTTCAAACTTGCGAGAACCCACGAAGCATGCCGGGCAGGAGGCCGAGTTCCCGCAAGAACACTGCGGGACATGATCCTGAGGAGCGGATTTTATCGGGAAGGGCTTTTAGCTCGGGTTAGAAGATTAAAAGAGCTTCTGGCAAGACACCGGAGAATCCCGAACATGTGAGCTGAGGACCGTCCCTATAATAGTATATAGTGGAAGTTGCAGTGAAGGATGCGAAAATTTTAGGAGTACTCCAATATGTACGTTTGAACCTTTGCTGTCCTGAGACCCTGAGCTGGCTGCCGCATCTCCACTCAACTTGAGGGGTCGACTGAGAGCGGGAGCCATTGGAATCAGAAGCAGGGTAGCCCATGTGTGCGCTTATCAGCAGCGTAAGGCTTAAGAACTGAGTGTGTGTCCAGCTATCAGAATTACTTAGTTTTAACTAACGCTTGAGTGAGCTGGCAATGGCACCTAGGCCTTCCAAGAGACATCGGCCAAAATGTGTGGTGTACACACGAACTTCTTCAGCAGCGAACGTTGGCAATGACAAAGACTCGGAGTCTCGCCAAGTACGGGTGTGTCTAGCACATGCTGAGCGATGTGGATACGAGGTCATGGGAAGGTTCTCTGATCCGTGTGTGTCAGGGACTGATGCCTTATTTATTCGGCAAGGGTTCTCCAGTATGGTGAACTACTGTCAGCGATCCACTGATGTCTCAATCATTGTCGTGGAGTCTGGGGACAGATTTGCACGTGATCTCCTAGTCCAGGAGACTGGGCTGCAGTGGCTGCGGGAGCTTCATTTGAGAGTGGAAACTACAGATAACAGTGCCCCGATGGATGCAACCTCTCCGGCAGCGAAATTGCTCAGACAAGTTCTTGGTGCTGTACACGAGTTCACTGGTGCCCAAGTGCGCGAAAGGCTTAGCTCAGGACGCGAAAAAAAACTACAGCTTATTCAGGCTGATGGCCATGGCGTGAGGAGTCTAGACGGCAATGCGAAGCTCGGTGGTCCCAGCAATTCCTTCCAGAACGACCCTGAACTCTACGAGGTTATCAAGAATGCGAGCAAAGAGAAGAATATCAATGTCAGCGAGCTAGCCAAGAAGTTGAAGAAACGTCGGCCAAAGCAGTGGTGTGTACGCTCAGGCCCAAATAAAGGAAAGGTGTGGAGCTGCAAACACGTCTCCAAGCTTCTAGGCCGCTTTGTGAATGGCAAGGATAAGGCCAAGTTCAATCAACAAGCAGCAAAGCTCAAGACAAAGAACAATATGTAAGTATATCATGAAAATTAAAATGTAGGAGACTGAGAGCACTGCCACAGGGCGGACTACGATCGTCAATGCAATTGCACGTCCAAATTAAAGTGACTTCAATGCCAGGCGCACGATTTGCAAAAGTGGAAGTTCACACCCCGATCCCGTCTCCTCGCAAGCTTCCGCACGCTGCAGTGGACCTGACATTGAGACTTAACTGGGAGGCAGTTTCTTCTACTTAGAGGCCGAGAGTTAAACTATGGACCAGACATTAAAGAAGCCGTATCCAGTCAGGTCAGTCAACAGGGAGCTCGAGGTCGCCCAAGTTCTGGAGGTCGAGGGTTCACATGATCAAGGCCAGTTTCAATTAGAGGGCATTGTTCAAGCGTTCGAATTGTTGAAGTTTTCAATGCCAAGCAGTCAATAATACCCCACAGCGCACGTGACTATCAGGCACCAGTGCAGCCAGACAATTACTATTTTCCATGCCGTATTAATTATCCGGTCAATGAGCATGTCGACAACAACAAGCAAGTCCTCGTCGTGCACACGCCAAGCAAATCTTATCCAAGCGGTGTCGTCGCGCAAACCGTGTCGTCGTGCACATGCCAACCGCCAACCAAATCTTATCCAAGCCCTATCGTCGTGCACATGCCAGGCAACCAGCTGCGGATTTCGGTCCTTAGTCATTGATCCAGACTGCGGTAACTGCATGCAAACGGCTCGCATCACAACCAGCTGCAGCTTTGAAGATGATGACCACGTGGCACTGATTGTTTGGCATGACTGCCTAAGCCTCAGCAGCAATTCCTTGTTTACGAGCCCAAGTAAACTGATAAGAAGCCCTAAGTTCAAGACCCAGCCACTGAAACCGACAAAAAACAGTACCCACCAATCCGTAACTATGACCACAAACCCTTACTCCCTGGCCTTTCACCATTGATTGAAGTTAAGGCCAAAACCCCTTGAGCCCTCTCACCTAAACGTAGTGAACTCGAACACTCAGTCATCGGCTTCGCTTTGTTTTTTTCTCAAAACCGGTAGGAAGTAGCTAAGCTAAGTACACAGATGCAGGACACACGACTTATTCCAGAAAGCCTTCGAAACTACCTACGTGTCACCAACGCTCGTCATCCCACTGAGCACTGCCCAACCATGAAATCTGCAAAGCCAAGCTCCTGAAGCCCAAGATCAGGTAAGCCAATCTCCACAATAATAATAATAATCCCAATGTCCTTCAATACTGCGCCGGGACGAAAGTTCGTCGCATCGGGCAGTTCTGTTAACTGTTACTTGCAACCCCCTATTCCCCCCTGGACTCCTTCACGAAGTCTCGAGTTGAGGCCCGGAGGTCAGCAATTCCCCGTTTGAACAACAACTAATATATGTTGATTCCATATTATATGCCAGCTGAGAATTTCTCCGCTGGCTAGGCCACGTAAAATTGCACTTGCTGGTACTCAGATATCTTAGTGCAACAAAACTTTCATCCTAGTATGGCAGCCTAGCTTAGGTCTTCAGGGTGGATATATGAGCTAAGTCTAGATGCTAGGCTCTACCGTGCAGTACGTTTGCCTGCGACCTGCAGAGGATCTCAATCTCTTACATCCAAGCCAACCCCCAGCCGGTCTATGTACTAACTACCAGCCAGTCTATGTCCAGCCAGTCTATGTCGTTCAAACCAACGCNNGCATTGGTAATCATTGGTAAAACTGAAACCTTTGGTAAATCTACACGCCAGTGAGCAAACATACATCTGTATTGGCAAAGTACACATCATTAAGTAAACATAGAGCAGACAGGTTCTCAATGCCAAGTACAAAATGTTCAA